ACATTGGCTACCCATTGGGTCTGGGCATCTCGAAATTTTGGTGTAGCAGGCTCGGCCTCACAGACAGGCTGACAGGTTTCTGGAGCATCTAAAAAGGGGAAGAGAAAACATGGATGGAGCAAAATTAATGCAGGCATAGAGTCCTCTCACTACAAACATCACAATGGAAAAATGTGTACTACAACATTGCACTCACACGCACACACACAATCATCATCACAACAGCCTGCCACCTTGCATTGTATTTATGATGTAGACTAAGGCACACGCAGGCAGGCACACACACACACACACAATTAATGATGTAGCTATCGTGGGCATTGTTTGTCCCATCTCCAAAACAATCAACTGCCTTAGCAAAATATCGGTAGCAATGTTAATGTATGACAACTTCTTCATAATTAACAGTATTGTCAGCTTCATAGCTAAAGTTGCTGAACTTACCCTCAGATTCAAGTCTGCGTTTCTTTATCTGGGAGGAGGCAGTGGTCCGCTGGGTGAGTTGACGCCTATTTGGCTGGGGAGGGCGATTGTATCCCAACCACAACTCTGGGAAAGGATTATCCTTGGTAGGTTTTTGGTCAACAAAGTGATAGGAACAAACAAAAACGTTGAGGGGTGGTTTCTTTAGATTCAATGCCTTCAGCCAGGTCCTTGATTCCGAGTCGGTATCAGGCTTGCGAAAAAATGTTAACAATGGAGCGTATGGTCATTGCCTCTTTGTAGCTGGTTTGTGGTCGTAGCACTCTCTATCTAACCACTCGTTCAGGTGCTTTCTCGAGTTTTTGCAACCAACTACCGCACACGTCGTTCCCGAACCACTTTTATTCATGTTGTAATTGTAATTTTTATATCCTCTTTGTCACTGCGATATCAGTGCTCTGTCGGCACAACGGAGCTAGCTAGCAAAACAAACCCAGCCCGGCAGAACGGAACTGGATTGCATCGACGGGAGGAGTTCAGGAAGTAGAGCGGAAACGGCTCAAAAACTTGTCTATAAAGCTAAGGTACAGTAGTTGCTGTGGTAACCAAACAAACATTCTTGGTAGTTTAGCTAACCAAACCATCAGTCCTATCTTGACATTATGAAAATTGAATTCAACAATACTAATAATGTTTTCATTTCGATTTTTGCTTTCAAAAGCAGCTCATGCTGTCACGATCGTTGATGAACGGGTCAGACCAAGGCGCAGCGTGATATGCGTACACAACACAACACAACACAACACAACACAACACAACACAACACAACACAACACAACACAACACAACACAACACAACACAACACAACACAACACAACACAACACAACACAACACAACACAACACAACACAACACAACACAACACAACACAACACAACACAACACAACACAACACAACACAACACAACACAACAAAACTGGAACAAGATCCCACAACCAACTAGTGCCAATAGGCTGCCTAAGTATGATCCCCAATCAGAGACAACGAGCGACAGCTGCCTCTGATTGGGAACCACACCGGCCAACATTGAAATACAAAATACTAGAAATACAACATAGACAATCAACCACATAGAAAATACACACCCTTACTCAACAAATAAGAGTCCCCAGAGTCAGGGCGTGACACATGCATTAACTATGGCCATTGAATTCAACCGTGCAAATATACTGTGCGTTATAGGGAAATAATGTACGCTCTAGAATGCCCTTCAAGCCAATCAGAAACAAGTATTCAACAATGCCATGGTATAAAGTACTATGACGTATGTATTCATTCCCCCTGTAAAGTGGGACCTTGTGATAACGCATTACTTTGACTTAACCTGACTATACCCTTTAAAGCGGCAATCTGTGATTGCTACATCAATTTTTTACTTTTAAATTAATTATATACACCAACTGATTCTTGAAGAAAATATAACTTATGAATGAGCTTAGTTCAACTGTCGTACCCCATCAGAACCCAAAATATAAGCTTTCTTTACTTCATGGTTTGTAAACAATGGAAATGAAGACAAAAATTGCACATGCTGATGTCGTGGAGGGTCAGTCCTTGCATCCATAGCCCTGTCTATGAATTTGAAATGGATTACATTTCCCCAGCCCCATCTCTCAGCTGTTTACAAAATCAGTGGTGGGGTGGCAGCTTTGTTATTGGTTGAACTGCAGATCACCCCTTTAAGTCACTCAATTGAAAAATACTTAAATTTTTTAAATATTTTTTATTTTATTAAACAACATCTTAGGGACTGTGAAATGACACACACACACAGACACACTCTATCACACTCTGTCACACTATATCGCACTATATCACACTATATCACACTATATCGCACTATATCACACTATATCACACTCTGTCACACTATATCACACTATATCACACTATATCACACTATATCGCACTCTATCACACTATATCACACTATATCGCACTATATCGCACTATATCACACTATATCACACTATATCACACTATATCACACTATATCACACTCTGTCACACTATATCACACTATATCACACTATATCGCACTCTATCACACTATATCGCACTATATCGCACTATATCACACTATATCACACTATATCACACTATATCACACTATATCACACTCTGTCACACTCTGTCACACTATATTACACTCTATCACACTATATCGCACTATTTCACACTATATCACACTATATCGCACTATATCACACTATATCACACTATATCACACTATATCGCACTATATCACACTATATCACACTATATCACACTATATCACACTATATCACACTCTGTCACGCTCTGTCACACTATATCACACTATATCACACTATATCACACTATATCGCACTATATCACACTATATCGCACTATATCGCACTATATCACACTATATCACACTATATCACACTATATCACACTATATCACACTGTCACGCTCTGTCACACTATATCACACTATATCACACTCTGTCACGCTCTGTCACACTCTGTCACTCTAACACACTCTAACACACACTATCTATACACACGTTACCATTATATTATTTGTATGTCGTTGTATTTTATATTTGTGTGTCTGTTCTTGTCTATCAGCGTATCAGTGTTTTGTTTACTTGTCGTGTTTTTTTGTTTTTGTGTGGCCCCCTGAAGGAATAGCTGCTTTCTTCGGCAAAAAAAGCTAATGGTGTTCTGAATAAACCAATAATAAGCCAATAATACTGAGAAACACTGTAGAAGCCTGGAAGTGAAAGTGGCCATTTTAGTGACATCTCTAGACCTCTGAAGGTCATTTGTAGCTGTGAAACAGCATGTGGGGTGTTTGACAAGCCTTGCTCGCAGAAGATTTAATGCATCTCATTGTAAAATAGACTGACAAAATTTGTGTGACTCCACATATCCGCCATCATCTCTCAGCAACTGTTTAAGGTGAAACATTCAACAGCACTTTATCGCCTAAGACAAATTGCCTCCGCGTTGCATTTTCTCTCTCGTACAACCCCACAAACAACTATGCTGTTAATGCTTTTTCTCTCAGACTGCTTGTTATGAGACGGTCGACTTAACGCGGATGTTGCTCATTATGCTACACTGCTGAGTGGTGAAAAAAAGACTCGACACATCTGAAACAATGAGACTCGAGAAAGAGGAATATTTTATATTTATTTTTATTTCATTTATTTGAACGTCATTCTGTTGGCAAAATGTAAGTAAAAACATAGTTTTATGTAAATAATGATGACAACACATAAGGGTAACCTGCACTATAAAATCAGAACTGTATCTTACAGTAAATCCTGCAAGTGGATTAAAAATATGGCTAATTTACAACGTGTACAAATTTCTCAAAGCAAGTGGAATTAGTTGCAGAGAGGTAGAACAGTTTTTACCCCAGCAACAGTTCGTATCTACTGCATTACATGGAGAAGTTCTATGGAGAGCATTGTAACCACTTGGTAAGCAGGTTTAAGTACAGAATCAATCAGGGCTGTGTGATTATAAAGACACGGTCACTTTTTTTTTGATCTAATGTATAAAATCTATCTCGTGAGACATGTAACCCTACCTTGTCCATATTAGGACAACCACAGCTCAGACCTGTTCTTTCAATGCATACTCTACTTTCCAAAATAAAGGTTTATTGGCTGTGGCTGAAACCTACAGAGGGATGCTGTACAACAGAGTGTTACACGAATGAATTGTCATTCTTTAGGAAAACAGAATGGATGTAGGGTGAAAATCATCCACACGTACTGACGCACTAAACACTGGTTGTGCTTCTGTTCATGTTTAATTGAACTAGCATTGCAGTAATGCCCTAAAGGTAGACTATTGAAGCGCTTCACATCTACCGGCAAAAATACAGTCCAGAGAATAACTCTAATAATGAATCTGCTTCAGACTGGTTTTAATGTGCACACGTCCTAATTCTGCAGTTTTGCTTGATTGTCATTCTAAAAGGAAATATTTCTGGCTAATACAGTATGAATGAAAATCACTTATCACTCTGAATAGGCTACTACATAAGCCGTTTCATCGCTAAAGCAGGTTTGGATGTTACATGAAGAAAATACTACTTTACCTACTAGGTTCAATTCTCAGTAACTTTTTTTTTGTTGCTTTCGCACCCCAAATGAAATAAGAGTTGTCAGTAAAACAACACAAAAGATGATTGAAAGCTGCAGTGGCATGTTAGGGGATGACATCATCAAAACATGGGCTGTAGAGGGATGACAGTGTGGTGTGACGTCATCAAAACATGGGCTGTAGAGGGATGACAGTGTAGTGTGACGTCATCAAATCATGGGCTGTAGAGGGATGACAGTGTGAAGTGATGTCATCAAATCATGGGCTGTAGAGGGATGACAGTGTGAAGTGATGTCATCAAATCATGGGCTGTAGAGGGATGACAGTGTGGTGTGATGTCATTAAAACATGGGCTGTAGAGGGATGACAGTGGGATGTGATGTCATCAAAACATAGGCTGTAGAGGGATGACAGTGGGATGTGATGTCATCAAAACATGGGCTGTAGAGGGATGACGGTAGGATGTGGGTGTGGCTGCAGCATGGAGGGGAACATGGCTGGGCGGGGCATGGTGTGGAATGTCACCGCCATTGGGTGGTGGTGTAAATTGGGCGGGGCCATTACCGAGAGCTGCGATGGTGAGGTCACAAAGGGAGGCGGGTAGGGGCCAGAGGGACACATTTCTGCCCCCATACGCAGGCGGCTGACTGGGACTGGAAGAACCTGGGGTAAGAGAGTTGGTTGGGGGTGAGGAGGGAGGAAGGCTGCATGGTGGTGATGTTGGTGGTGGAGGATGGTGTGTCGGATAGTGATGGACCCGGTCGACATGGGGGACATGGGGGATGGAGAAAGGTGGACAGGGTGGAGCATGGGAGGACAGGAGGGGGACATGGGGACAGGAGACCCAGACAGGACAGGCTTCATCTTTCCAGGGAACACCTGATGTTGCTGATGGTGGTGGAGGATGTGCCCGTGGGTCTGGATCTGAACGAGACATCGATGTTTCTCCATAACGTCAGACGGGTGCTGCGGATGGAAACATGGTGGTCTGTGATTGTGGTAGGGGCTAGCTGTAACGTTAGTACCTCCGGATCTCAGGCTCTCCATGACCTCCCTCTCGTCCTGAACCCTAACCCCAGGATGAAACCTCTGAAACTGGGTAGGCTGGGGGCTGTGGCACTCCTGGTGGTGGGGGTGGCTCTGGGGACTGTGCTGACGCGACTTGTCCAGGCTCACCTTCTGTGTGTGAAACATCGGTGGGATGGATGTGGGGATAATCTCTCTCACACCCAGTTGACTGACCTGGGCAGCCACTGCCACTGTTTGCCTTGTTATGCAATCTTGTCCATTGTTGCCCATTCCTAGATGATGTACCATGATCGGGAGAGAAACAGTGGGAGAGTTTGGGAGGCAAATAGTGATGTTTTTGTTTTCATTAGTAATACCAATTATTTCTGGGGGATTTGGGGGATCTCTTACAGGCCCAGGTTGAGAGAGAGAGGAGGAACAGTCTTCTTTCACGCTGGGAACGTTGTTCTGAATCTGGAGCAGAGGAGAGCCTCCCATTGACTTACTGCTGTGCTCTATTGTCGGCTGACCCAGGGCACTACAGCTGTGCTCTACAGCCGGCTGACTCAGGGCACTACAGCTGTGCTCTACAGCCGGCTGACTCAGGGCACTACAGCTGTGCTCTACAGCCGGCTGACTCGGGGCACTACAGCTGTGCTCTACAGCCGGCTGACTCAGGGCACTACAGCTGTGCTCTACAGCCGGCTGACTCAGGGCACTACAGCTGTGCTCTACAGCCGGCTGACTCAGGGCACTACAGCTGTGCTCTACAGCCGGCTGACTCGGGCACTACAGCTGTGCTCTACAGCCGGCTGACTCAGGGCACTACAGCTGTGCTCTACAGCCGGCTGACTCAGGGCACTACAGCTGTGCTCTACAGCCGGCTGACTCGGGCACTACAGCTGTGCTCTACAGCCGGCTGACTCAGGGCACTACAGCTGTGCTCTACAGCCGGCTGACTCAGGGCACTACAGCTGTGCTCAAGCCGGCTGACTCAGGCACTACAGCTGTCTCTACACGGCTGACTCGGCACTAAGTGTGCTCTACACCGTCTGACGTCAGGCTTACAGCTTGCTCTACAGCGCTGACTCAGGGACTAGCTGGCAAGTGGACCTTTTAGCACAGGGTATTCTACGGCTGTATTCACTAGATTCTCACTCTGGACGTTCAGCTTACATCTGCCACCAGACAGCACATCCAGAGGAGGTTCTGCCATGTGAACACTGTGACCTACAGGAGGTTCTGCCATGTGAACACTGTGACCTACAGGAGGTTCTGCCATGTGAACACTGTGACCTACAGGAGGTTCTGCCATGTGAACACTGTGACCTACAGGAGGTTCTGCCATGTGAACACTGTGACCTACAGGAGGTTCTGCCATGTGAACATTGTGACCTACAGGAGGTTCTGCCATGTGAGGAGCATAACTGGACCCTCTCTGTCTCTTCCTCAGTCTCCCCTCCCTACCACAGGAAACACAGCCAGACCAAGCAGACCCCTCCTCACCCATTGAACCATCTGTCCCATTGGGCTCTACCACAGGTGACTGACACTGGGTACATGGGACTGGCCGATTGGGTTCTACCATCACAGCTGGCTGACACTGGGTGCATGGACCCTGGTGGTCAAGGCCCTGCTCATCATTAGCCATAGACATTGATGCTGTCCGTTTCCTTTTCAAGGCCCTGCTCTCACACAAGTCTTCACCACGGCTCTCTGGTGAAAGGGCCATGCTTCGTTTTTGGGTAGCAGTGACTAAGCTCTCTGGTGCCGTGACTGTCGTCACCCTGCCTGGGTTTTGTCTAACAGGCCCAAGAGGTTTCTCAGGGCAGGGGGTGTCATTGTGGCTCTGTGAGCTCTTTGAACCATGCCCTGCAGTGTTTCTCTGTTCTGTTGATGGATAGCCCGGGTCTCTTGTGACGCTCGTCCCCAACACCTTTTCATCCGAGAGCCTGCCTGCTGAGCCGTTTACACTGCCTGCTGTTTCCTGTCTGCTTCTCTCCTCCTCCCTCTCTCTTTCTACATCCCTCTCCCGCTCCACCACCCTCTCCGTCTCCCTCACCCTCTCCCTCTCCACCACCCTCTCCCTCTCCCTCTCCCTCTCCCTCTCCCTCTCCACCACCCTCACCTTCTCCCCCTCCCCCTCCCTCTCCCTCTTCCCTCTCCCTCTCCCTCTCCCTCTCCTCTCCCTCTCCCCCTCCCCCTCCCTCTCCCTCTCCCTCTCCCTCCCCTCTCCTCTCCCCTCTCCCCCTCCCCCCTTCCTCTACCCGTCCCCCTCTCCCTCTCCCCCTCCCTCTCCCTCTCCCTCTCCCCTCTCCCTCTCCCTCTCCTCTCCCTCTCCCTTCCCATCTCCACCACCCTCCCCTTCTCCCCCTCCCCCTTCCTCTCCCTCTCCCCTCCTCTCCCTCTCCCTCTCCCTCCCCCTCCCTTCTCACCACCCCCCTTCTCTCCCCTCCCCTTCTCCCTCCCCTCTCCCTCTCCTCTCCCTCTCCACCCTCCTCTCCCTCTCCCTCTCCCCCTCCCTCTCCCCTCCCTCTCCCTCTCCCTCTTCCGTCTCCCTCACCCTCTCCCTCACCCTCTCCCCCCCTCTCCCTCTCCCTCCCCCTCCCCCTCCTCTCCCTCTCCCTCTCCCCCTCCCTCTCCCTCTCCCTCTCCCCTCCCCCCTCTCCCCCTCCCTCTCCCTCTCCCTGTCCTCGGCGGCGAAGGGAGCAGCGCATCCACTGCCGATTGGATGCTTTAACTTCCCTAATGGCTGCACTTGCTGTGAAGTGGGGCCTCTAAATTGGCTATCAAGTCCTTCCCAACACTCAGACCGTCTCTGGAATTTGTTGCATTTCTCTGCATTGCTCTCCAACCCTCCATCCGTCTCCCTCTCCCTCTCCGTCTCTCTCTCTCTGCGCAACTCCTCTTCTTCCTCATCCTCCCCTCCTCTCCTCCTCCTCCTCCTCCTCCTCCCCTTCTTCTTGTGGCTCCTGTAATGGTGCCTGTCTCTGGATTTCCATTTCTCGCCGCCTGCTGCTCTCTTGCCGGAATGAGTCCTACTTTTGGAGTGCCCACTATATCCCCCTCTGCTGTAGACTCTGCTGTGTCTCTGAGGACGCAAGCTGCAGCTTTCTGAGTCTGTATCACTCATGTGGTGCTCACATATGAGACAATCCTCCCTGTCGTCTCTGATAGGGCTATGATGGTCTGGGCCAGAGTAGGCTTTGTTGTTGTGCTTGTTGTCAACATCTGTTGGTTCCTCAGCGCAGACAGAGGTTGAGCTGATACACCAAGCCACAGATAACTTACTCTGACTGTCACCAACACTAACCTTCGCCCTGCTCTGCCACTGCTGCGAGGCCCTAAAGTCAAAATGGAGGGGGTTGCAGCTGTAGGTGAGACGGGGCTCTGTCCTGGTGAAGGTCAGCATCTCTGAAGGCCACTGGAGAACAGTGTTTCCATCTCTGCTGAGCACAGAGAAGAACGGCTGGCTGGGCTTGGTGAAAAGACACGACAGGGTCTTCACTACCGTAATGTCTTCTTCTTTCTCTTCCTCGCTCACAGTCCCAGGACACTGAGAGGACTGAGAGGAGGAGGACTGGTTCTCAGGGGGACCATCAGAACCGGGGATGACCTCAGAAGAGGAACTGCTAATGGAGGAGTCCTCTTCCCCCCAGACGCTCTCCTCTACTTTATGAGCTTGTTGGTGTTTGCTTGTTTCCGGCTCAGCCTCTGTTGGGCTGTTTCTCTGAGTTTCCTCAGAGTTCTGTGTATCTAGTACTGTGTCTGGGTCGTCTGGGGGAATGTGACAAGGGGAGGCAGGTAATTGGGAGACAGAGGACATATAAGGTCTGGCCATATCCTCAGAGTTAACTAGCACAGAACACAGATGTGAGGCCAGTGGTGGCATGGGGATGTCAGACCTGGCTAGTGCATCTGATGACCTCTGGCTCCCCTGACTAAAACGAACACTGTTTGGGCTGAGATCACCAGGCTGAGTGCCAATAGCCTTCACAGTCCCATGACACAGTCCCTTTTCCTCTGCAGTAGGAGAGTCCGGAATGTTCAGCGCAACAAGGGGCATTCTGAGCTTCTGTCTTCTGATACATTCTTTGGAACCCTCCTCTGTGTTCTCACAGAACACGGAGGCCGAAGATTTCAGCTTCACGGATGCTTTCTTTGGGAAGGAGAATGAGAATGCTATTTTATGCTTGTTGTAAGTCTGTTTCTTGGCCTTTCCTGTGTAAGGCCAGTACAGTGTCTGCTGGGTCCTGCTGTTGGTGGCCAGACCAGTGCTGGCGCTGGTGTGGTTTTGGGTCCCTGTCTCCAGCACTGAGGAGTTGTTGGTCTCCTCTGAAGGTCCATCGGTACAGCTGTCTCTGAAACTGCCCTCCACTGCCACCGTAGTTGACTTGAACTTGGGGCCACTGCCTGGAGCGCTGAAACATAGAAAAATTAAACATTTGAATGAATGTCCGCAAGTCCATATTCATACGTGCATGGAACTCAATTGTTGTAGGCGAATCCCTTAATGATATCAACGCTCGTGATTCATGTATCTCAAGCAAGGACTCATCCCTAGACATCTGAATTTCCCCATACATCAAAATGATACACAGTGTATAAAAATGTAGGCTAACCAGTGGGCAAATCTGGTTGAAATGAATTCATTATTATCAGAACTGGTATGTCTAGTTTTCTGACTCCAACTTCACATGTTAAGACTCAGGACCCTGCTATACATTATCTGTGACAGATCACACTTCAACCAATAATCTATGATGAATCATATCCTGGAATGTTCAGCGACGTATGTACCCACCATTGGACCTCTCTGCGTTGTTCGGCCAGTTCATGTATCCTCCGGAGTGCTCTCTCCTGTTTCCGCTCATCCTTCCTGGTCTTAGAGGTCACGTTCCGGGCAAACTCTCTCTGCTTCAGCTCCTTCAGCCTCTGTGGAAGTCAGAAAACTTCATTTTAGAGATCGCTAATATCTTGAATATCTCTAAGGTTGCGTACCTAACGGCATCCTATTCCCTCAATAGTGGAATGCCAAGTAGTGCACTATATCAGAAAGGCTGAGGCTAATGGCCTGTTGATCTCTCCCCAAACAATCTACATCTAATCTAGCACTATATAGGGGTGCCTAAAAGGATGCATCTATCTCTAATATCTCTACGTGTCGACGGGGCAGCAGTGGAGAAGATCAAACGCTTCAAGTTCCTTGGCGTGCACATCACTGACAACCTGAAATGGTCCCTTCACACGCACAGTGCGGTGAAGAAGGCGCAAAGGGCACCTCTTCAACCTCAGGAGGCTGAAGAAATTTGTGGCCCCTAAGACCATCACAAACTTCTACATATGCACCGTTGAGAGCATCCTGTCGGGCTGTATCACAGCCGGGTACGGCAACTGGGACTGAGAGACTGATAAACAGCTTCTATCTCCAGGCCATCAGTGTCACGATCGTCGATAGAAGCGGACCAAGGCGCAGCGTGATAAGCGTACATCTTTATTAAGTACACACACGAACAAAAACAACAAACCAAACGATACGTGAAGTCCTAGGTTAATAACACAAACCTTAACGGAACAAGATCCCACAATAAACTAGTGCCAACAGGCTGCCTAAGTATGGTCCCCAATCAGAGACAAGGAGTTACAGCTGTCTCTGATTGGGAACCACCCTGGCCAACATAGATATAAATGATCTAGAACAAAACATAGAAAACTATAACATAGAACCTACACACCCTGGCTCAACATTAAAGAGTCCCCCCCAAAGGCGTGGACTGCGACCGCGCCAACCAAACACAACAGGGGAGGGGCCGGGTGGGCATTCCGCCTCGGAGGTGGCTCCGGGTCCGGGCGTGACCACCACTCTCCTTCTACCCCCCTGTAGCGCCCCTGGTCTGGTCCCGCTGGCCGGAGCTGGACTGGACACCGGTGGAGCGGATTGCTCTGGCTCCACAGTGGAACAGGCACGGGCCATGCCGGAATGACGACGCGCACCACTGGCTTGGTGCGGGGAGCAGGAACTGGCCGGACCGGGCTGGCGACGCGCACCACTGGCTTGGTGCGGGGAGCAGGAACGGGCCGGACCGGGCTGGCGACGCGCATCACTGGCTTGGTGCGGGGAGCAGGAACGGGCCGGACCGGGCTGACGACGCGTACCACTGGCTTGGTGCGGGGAGCAGGAACAGGCCGGACCGGGCTGGGTTGGCGACGCGCACCACAGGCTTGGTGCGAGGGACAGGAACAGGCCGGACCGGGCTGGCGATGCGCACCACAGGCTTGGTGCGAGGGACAGGAACAGGCCGGACCGGGCTGGCGACGCGCACCACAGGCTTGTTGCGAGGAGGCTGCCTAAATCAGTTAAAAAGTCATCACTAGCCAGCCTTCACCCAGTACCCTGCCCTAAACGTAGTCACTGTCACTAGCTGGCTACCACCCGGTACTCAACGCTGCATCTTACAGACTGCTGAGCTGTGTACAGTGCCTTGCAAAAGTATTCATCCCCCTTGGCGTTTTTCCTATTTTGTTGCATTACAACCTGTAATTTAAATTGATTTTTATTTGGATTTCATGTAATGGACATACATAAAATAGTCCAAATTGGTGAAGTGAAATGAAAAAAATTACTTGTTTCAAAAAATTCAAAAAAATATAGAATGGAAAAGTGGTGCGTGCATATGTATTCACCCCCTTTTCTATGAAGCCCCTAAATTAGATTTGGTGCAACCAATTCCCTTCAGGAGTCACATAATTAGTTAAATAAACCTGTCCACCTGTGTGCAATCTAAGTGTCACATGATCTGTCACATGATCTCAGTATATACACACCTGTTCTGAAAGGCCCCAGAGTCTGCAACACCACTAAGCTAGGGGTACCACCAAGCAAGCGGCACCAAGAAGACCAAGGATCTCTCCAAACAGGTCAGGGACGAAGTTGTGGACAAATACAGATCAGTGTTGGGTTATAAAAAAATATTTGAAACTTTGAACATCCCACGGAGCACCATTAAATCCATTATTAACAAATGGAAAGAATATGGCACCACAACAAACCTGTCAAGAGAGGGCCGCCCACCAAAACTCACGGACCAGGCAAGGAGGGTATTAATCAGAGAGGCAACAAAGAGACCAAAGATAACTCTGAAGGAGCTGCAAAGTTCCACAGCGGAGATTGGAGTGTCTGTCCATAGGCCCACTTTAAGCCGTACACTCCACAGAGCTGGGCTTTACGGAAGAGTGGCCAGAAAAAAGCCATTGCTTTAAGAAAAAAATAAGCAAACACGTTTGGTGATCGCCAAAAGCCATGTGGGAGACTCCCCAAACATATGGAAGAAGGTACTCTGGTCAGATGAGACTAAAATTGAGCTGTTTGGCCATCAAGGAAAACACTATGTCTGGCGCAAACCCAACACCTCTCATCACCCCAAGAACACCATCCCCACAGTGAAGCATGGTGGTGTCAGCATCATGCTGTGGGGATGTTTTTAATCTGCAGGGACTGGGAAACTGGTCAGAATTGAAGCAATGATGGATAGCGCTAAATACAGGGAAATTCTTGAGGGAAACCTGTTTCAGTCTTCCAGAGATTTGAGACTGGGACGGATGTTCACCTTCCAGCAGGACAATGACCCTAAGCATACTGCTAAAGCAACACTCGAGTGGTTTAAGGGGAAACATTTAAATGTTTTGGAATGGACTAGTCAAAGAGAATCTGTGGTATGACCTAAAGATTGCTGTACATCAGCGGAACCCATCCAACTTGAAGGAGCTGGAGCAGTTTTGCCTTGAAGAATGGCCAGATGTGCCAAGCTTATAGAGACATACCCCATGAGACTTGGCTCTCCAAAGTATTGACTTTGGGGGGGTGAATAGTTATGCACACTCAAGTTTTCTGTTTTTTTGTCTTATTTCTTGTTTGTTTCACAATAAAATATATTTTGCATCTTCAAAGTGGTAGGCATGTTGTGTAAATCAAATGATACAAACCCCCCAAAAATCAATTTTAATTCCAGGTTGTAAGGCATCAAAATAGGAAAAATGCCAAGGGGGGTGAATACTTTCGCAAGCCACTGTACATAGAGTCATTGAACACTGGTCACTTTAATAATGTTTTCCTACTGTTTTACCCACTTTATATCAGTGCATTCGGAAAGTATCCAGACCACTTCACAAATTTCTAAAAACCTGTTTTTGCTTTATCATTATGGGGTATTGTGTGTAGATTGACGAGGGAAAAAAATTATTTCATCTAATTTAGCATAAGGCTAACAAAAAGTAAAGGGGTCTGAATACTTTTCAAATGCACTGTATGTATTTACTGCAGTCAAGGCTCCTCCTATATAATTTATAAAAAAATTCTGCATTATGTGTGTATTATTTTTGTTTATTGCTAGGTATTACTGCACTGTTGGAGCTAAAATCATAAGCATTTCGCTGCACCTGTGATAACATCTGCAAAATCTGTGTACACAACCAATAAACTATTTGATTTGACATCTCTACATCTATATCGGGATCTCTAAATCTGTGAAGGGAGAGCAGGGAGTGTAGGGAATCTGTGAGTGCACTCCTCTCCGTCACGTCTAAGTGACAACGCTGCTTGAATAATAATCCTCTAAGAGAACTTCTTTCTTTTCTCATTTTACATTTTAGTCATTTAGTAGATGCTCTTATCCAGAGCGATTTACAGCAGTGAGTGCTTACGTTTTCATACTTCTTTTCACACTCCTCAGCTTCACAACCCTTGTTTTATTTTAACAGACTGTATGTGTATCTGTCTTGGTATGTCATGCATTCAACAATATAATGCAGAGATTAAAAACTCTCTTCAGAAGAACTACGGAAGGTAATAAAGCTGTTTTGCTGTTACACTTCATCAAACATATTTTTCGCACAAATGAATACTGGCTTCAGATGATGCAGCAGCATGAAATTGTTCTCAGATTTATTTTCTCAGATCAAACTCTCTGATATTAATTTGAATTTGCTTCCCCATCTAAAGGGATTTGCGTTTCTGAGGGCCGGGAAGGAAACAGGATTTCCCTATAGTTAATGTCACAGTAGGTTGATGAAACATAAATGAAAATGGACAGTTCCCTATTGGAAATTATAACTATTGAATAGATTTATCCACAAACAAATGATCAAATACTGTATGTTTTAGTAGGTTAGCAAATGGTTAAATGTTACTTAAACATTCCTAAAGTAGTATACCTTGCCATCCATCTACAGTGCCTTTCGGGAAGTATTCAGACCCCTTGACTTTTTCCACATTTTGTTACGTTACAGCCTTATTAAAAAATTGATTAAATGGTTTTTCCCCCCTCATCAATCTACACACAATACCACATAATGACAAAGCAAAAACAGGTTTTAGAAATGTTTGCTAATTTATAAAAAATTAAAAACTGAAATATTAAATTTACATAAGTATTCAGACCCTTTACTCAGTACTTTGTTGAAGCACCTTTGGCAGCGATTACAGCCTTGAGTCTTCTTGGGTATGACGCTACAAGCTTGGCACACCTGTATTTGAGGAGTTTCTCCCATTCTTCTCTGCAGATCTTCTCAAGCTCTGTCAGGTTGGATGGGGAGCGTTGCTGCACAGCTATTTTCAGGTCTCACCAGAGATGTTTGATCGGGTTCAAGTCCGAGCTCTGGCTGGGCCACTCAATGACATTCAGACACTTGTCCCGAAGCCACTCCTGTGTTGTCTTCGCTGTGTGCTTAGGGTCGTTATCCTGTTGGAAGGTGAACCTTCACCCCAGTCTGAGGTCCTGAGCGCTCTGGAGCAGGTTTCCATCAAGGATCTCTCTGTACTTTGCTCCGTTCATCTTTGCCTAAATCCTGACTAGTTTCCCAGTCCCTGTGCCTGAAA